ATTCAAAACACAGATACATGTTTGACAAACAGGAAGATTTTGAAAATTCGTTAGTTGTAATCGAAATTGACGAAGACTAAACAATCGAACACAACACCACTTCATTTCTATTCATCTAAAACGGTCTTACCTAGTTTTTACAATTTGCAAATTAAGCGATGATGAATCACACGAGTAACTATACGCTAATCTCGGATTCTAAACAAAAGCTAATTCTACAAGATGTGCAATCAATCAATTTCTTCTTTACCTCGTCCATATCACTAACAGTACCATTGACTGTTGGTATCTGATCGAGATTATTCATTGTATATCCGACCATGATGTAAGGCGAAGAAAGAAACCTTGGTGGATAAAGATTTAACTCATAGATATTTACATGTAACACAGTTGTTGCAAATCGATTCGGATTATTTTCTTGTTCAGCCTAATCGACGAAAAGAAAATATCAATTAAAACTTCAATCATGCACTAATTTTACTTTAATTAAGAGATCGAACTGAGCTATTGAATCCAAATTCGATTGAAGACTAATAACACCTGTGTATTTATCAATAGTAAAGTACATATCTACGCAAAATAACATTGAATACATTTAGATGAAACGTCTATCTTCATACTCGACGTGGAAAATGAATAGATGATCGTTGCATTGATTCCAAAATCTTGATCATACGCAAAGATTCGTCCTTCTTTCGGCACTACTTCGTAACCCTAATATAAAGAAACAAGGTGAATAGATTTCAATAAAAATGTCATAGACAGTACAATGGTTGTGTCGATAGAAATGTTCAGATTATACGATGTGGATATTCGAAATTTCGGATCTAAGTTATCCACATCGATGAGATGTATTGAAACAATGGTTTGCGATGACAATGGTGGATTGCCGTTATCCTAGAGACAAGAAGTGATTCAAAATTTTCAAATCGAATTCGGTTACTTGTGCAACAATGATTAAATTAAAGTTCGGTACCATTGAATTATAATCAAGTGGTCGAACTAATATCAGACTGGCATTTGTTGAGCTTACCAATCGAAAATATGACTACGAACGAATAATCAATAAGCTTCAATGAAATTCAACGAAACAAATTCTCTTACCGCATATGATGAGAGATTATTCTGCAGAGAGTATGAAAATGTACCCGAGACTCCCGAATCCGGATCGGTGGCTGTGATTGCGGTGGATAGAATGGTATTGATCGGAGTTGTTTCAGTTAGATTTATGTGGTAGATTGATTGAGAAAATGTCGGAGGATTATCATTTACATCGATGAGATCAAGTTGAAAGTCAATATCATGAATCGATCGATCGGATAAAACTATACATTCGACTATAAAACGAAAGGGATTGGGAAAACCATTCGATGTCCACCATTCATAATCCAGGGCTAAATGAAATATAATAGCATTGCTTCACAATGTCAAATGATGTCAAAACTCACGAGAACGTAAATATAAATCAGTGAAATTTAAGGTAAAATAATCAGTTCCATTGGTTTTTACATCTGAACTATTATAAATCAATCGTGTGGAGATTTCTGAGGGTGAACCAGTAATTTGTAGACGAGCAACCAGATTTCCCTGTTGAGTATTTTCGGGCATTGTTATGATTTGAAGTGCAGGTAGAAACTGTAGTGTACATGGTTGACCTACGGAAATATTTTCATAAAGAAAAATATTTGACATTGATCATGTTTATCAATCTGATTAACGTATTAAAAGCGGTCCATTTGATTTCCTTCTTCTTTTTGTTTTTGTCTCTACTGTTTCCATCAGTCATTCTATATTCTGTCGGTTTGTTGATATACACTCAAAAGTTGTTCTCTTGCGAACAATAATCAATGAATAGTAATTAGCTGAACTCTCATGTTGACCGTTCGAACACGACACTTTCGAGTTGTTTGACCATGTTTAAGTAGGAGAAAAACTTACCTTGCGCGCGTGCGCTTAGAGCCATTAAGCAAAGCAGCAGNATCATGCGCATTTCGAGATGATTGTAGACCGATAAAGAGAGAGAGAGAGAGAGAGACAGTAAGCAAGAAGCTCAACACAATGACAGTAGCAACAACAATACTAATAACGATGAAGACAATCATTACACCGATTGAGTCAAATGTTCAAAAGAAAGAAGCAAGTATAATTGGTTGTATATATACATTTATAAACTCTCCCATCACTCACTCGAAGGTGAACGATTTGTCTCTCTTTATGTCTCGTTGTCATCATCATCATCATATATCTACATACATCGATTATGATCAATCTTCTCTTCGCACGTACTTCAGCCGCCCCTACACCTATCTTACAAATACATCGATTCACCGTTCGTTAATGTGTTTCGCATGAATAATTTCTTCTCTTTCTACATACTTGTAGTCATCTCGCTCAGAATCTCGTTCAAATGCAATAGCTCGAGATTCAATTTGATCAATTGGTAACTATTTTGAAATTACATCACACTTCATATCAAAAACGCCGTTCGTTATTTGTCTTAATTTGATATGACTGTCTATCTAATGAGGCAACTCAACAATAAAAACATAAGCAGATCTATGAAAGAAAATCTGTTGCTTAATTTCAATGCATAATTAAATTGACGACAGTTTTGTTCCTCGGAGAATATAAATAATGATGAATCAATTTGTTGAAAAGATCAAACTTGCCAAGTACATACCGCCAACAGGTGAACCAGCTTGACCATCAGATTCGCTCGACTACCATTTATCAAAAGTGAATGAGAGAAAAGAAAAAGACAAAGCCAATTTGTAAAGAAATTGATATGCCGTACCTGTAAGCAATCTTACACAATAATTTAACGAATATATATATAGAATCATCTTTCTAGGATGAACATGTCTTTTGAGTTTTATAAGTTTGCCTAGTAGTTATATGTATGTATGTTTGATGTTGACCTATTATATTCTATGATGATTAGTGATGAAAAACTGGCGATTATTATGTAGATATGTACATATATATTTGTATACGTACATGTAGTGAAAGGAAAGAGATTGTTCATGGTATTGAGGATGGAATCTTATTTCTCGAGGACGATAAGCAAACGACTTTTGCCTGTCAGTCAGAAGAAAAGTGGTGTAATTTGAACAAATATTGTACTTACATATATATTTAGAATAAAAGACGACTTAAACATATGGTAAAATTTCCTATTTCTCTACTAACGATGGACAGTCAGTTTTACCTATCGATCAATTTTTTCTTCACTCACTCTCTCTCTCTCTTCATCAAAGTGTCAATTGAGATTTAGGCCGGTGTCATTTTTTCTCCTCCTTATTATCAGATTGCATCATCATTGTCATCGTTATACCATACCAAAGTATAATATGTATATGGTTGGCTTGTCGTCTAAGTCGATTTGAATACGAAGGAAGTTCAAGGTCTATTTGTTTAAAGCTTCTTTACTGATTTGAGGGAAAGAGAAAAATGAAGAAAAAAAAAGAAAGAAATTGAGATGACCAGACGGAGCAACGAGCCATATCATATATCATTGAACAGCTAGACGATGATCAAATTTGTCAGGCATACTAACAAGCAAGTTACTTATTTTCCTATTACACCTTTTGATCACATCCGCGCTTTCAATTGAAAATCGAAAAGAAAGAGAAGAAAAAAAAACACACACGAAACGATGAACACGAGTAAATTATAGTGAGGATTCAATGGTAATTGTAAGATGTCTCATATGCATGTCATGTTCATACATTCTCACTTGTATTATGACATTCAATCGAGAAGAAAAAGATGAGTAACAAGTTGTATGTATCATAGAATGATATTAATGGACTTTTCACGTTTCATTTCGATTGTCTCGCTGACAAATGACTAGTGAACGAAAGAAAAAGTTACTCTTTGTCGCAATTTTGGTAAATATTTTCTTTTGATCAATAAATTTCAATCGAATTTTTCTGGTTTCTTTTTTTTGGTAATTTTGCAACGAACGAAACTGACTGTTGTGTAGAAAAACGAAACGAAAATATTGCACAACCTGAATAGCCGTATAGTTTAAATCCAATGCAGAAACGAGAAGGACACAATGAGCCGCGATCGGTGTCTAACAAATTCATTAAATTTATGAGACAAAGGCATAACTTTCGATCTTCGGATTACAGACACTGATCACTTTGACACTCGTTACTTTTTTCTAGTACGAACTACCGCGAAAGTAATTATTTTTATAGAACTTTAGGAACTACATGTTTTTGACAAACTACAAAATGAAACGGAACACGCTGACGGGTTTATAGTCATAATTGAACAAAATCGTTTAATTGTGTTGTTTAGCCTTAGTTCGTTCGAGTGCTTCTTGAGTTTTAGGATCGTATTTTTTGGTTGGATCTGCGTCACCACTGTGAATGATCTGATTGCTTGTGCGTCGATCTTCAGCCGACAGATCACCATGATGTAAGGTTGCTGCTAGACCCACTTGTTTTGCGTCGGTTTGCATATGATAATGAAAATGTGATCGTAATATAGGATTTTTTTAAGAATAAGTTTGAACTTTATTGATGCAATTTGTCGGCAGTAAGTATTCTGAAGTTTTAAAATCGAATGTGGATGTGTTCCGTGAGTCAAACCCACAACTATCTTCTTTACATATTCAGACAAACAAGTAAATAGTGATTTTATTCTGATTTCGATTACCTCGTGAGAATTTCGTCATATCTACCTTTCTACAAACATTGGACAAGTATAAATAAATAGGAAAACTTTTCTTGCATTCACATTCAATCAATCGCGTTTTCGTATATTCGATAGAAAATCAAAAGTTTCAGTTATAATCACAGATATTCATCATTCGCCGTCATCGATTTAGCTTTTTTGCCTTCGTGAAGATTTGATTTGACTATCTCATACAATCAAATGTTTTATTGTCTTGATTTTTTTTCAAATATGAATTACAGTAAAAGCGAGTTTTCTATCATTCGATGCGAAAAAATGTAAATAAAATGAAGTCGAATTGCAACGCAGGAATTTTAATCTTCACCAACGGGTAAAGCATCTTCTAATTTATTCAAGAATTTAATTCGCAATTCAGTTGCATTGTCACCTTTCAATTGATCTTGCACAAATCGACATTCGACTTCCAATTGAACCTACATTACAACTCAATATGACAAAAAACAAGCAAACAAAAGAACTCAAACAAACCATTTCGAGCGCACCTCGAATCGCTCCACATATCATCTGATTATAACTTAACTTTTGACCTTGTCCTTCTGGTAATTCAACGAATTCAGTTAATGGATTACCATCGATTAATAAAGAAAATTCATCGCCAGCTGATGACCAATTGGTAATTGATGGCGAAATACCCAAATATGTCTTAAAACCTTGCTGAAAACAAAAACATCGAAATGATTCGTATGAGTTTTTTTTGGATTGAATTGTTTCTTTACCTTTGCCAAGACATCCGCTGTTTCGCGTAGATCGTGACATCGACCGACATTCGGATTACGCGCAAGAAAATCATCGATCAATCGAACACCAATATTATAACCACTGAAATATTTTTTCAACCATGAATTCCAACTAATCTTTTCCTATCAAAACTTACATTTTATCCAGTTGTTTATTAACCTCATCGACATGTTCATAATCGTTCAATATTTGTGCAACAAATGCTCCATAAGTTAGTGTGAATAACTCTTGTGTCTGAAGAAAAAACAACGCAGAATTGTGATTTTCTCCTGTTCATTAACCCATCCGACATACTACCTACAACACGTCGTGCGTCGAGATTTGGTTTGACATTTGTTCGACTCATCTTATGCTTTGTTCAACGAAACGAAGAAGTTTCCTATCTGAAAAAATCAATAAAACCCCTCACACTTCAATTTCACTTGATTTGCAGATAAAAATCTCAATAAACATTCATAAATACTAAGAGAAGAATTATATAGTTTTGAAAATGCCGCAAAGAAAGAAGAATCATTCGAATTTATGTTGATCTCTTGTCGATGACATATCCTGTTCGATCTTTGTTAATGTATTCGATGTTACCGCGGCTAAATCATGTGCGACACCAGGCATTTGTTCCAGTTGACGATGGACTTCTTTGAACTTACTCGACATGTTTCGTCGAATATCGGTGAATTCACGCGTCATTTGTCTATTTGATTCAAGTAAATCACGCAATCGATTTTGAATGGTGGAATTTTGGGATTCAATCTTATCCATAGCTTTTTCAATATCATTCAAGGCAGTTTCTAATTCAAGTAATTCTAAACGTACAGAAAAAAGAGAGATAAGACATTCAGTGTCGTTTATATTCCATACCGGAATCAATTTCTTCATCACGATTTTGATTGTTGGAATGATGATGATGATTGTTTGTTTCACTATGATTTTGAGAATGACGGTGATCGGACGTAGTCATTTCAACAGAAACGATGTTTATAAAATAACTACAAGTAAATATAGATTATTGTAACATAACAACTACAAATGAAATGAGATGGATGATGTCAAGAAAGTTTGTGGCGACATCTGTGTATCTAAACTGAAAAGAAATAATATCAAACAAAAACGATTTCATTTTAGGAAAATTATTTTATTAAAAAATGAAATATTTTTGAGATTATTCTTATCACAAATTGATTGGTTGGATTCTGCGTCCTTTTAGCACCGTATGAGTGATGAGTACGATGCAAAATACTTTCAATTCAATATAACTATTGCGAAGCCAACGATACAGTTGATTGACTATCGATGAATCATAAAAGCAAGACGAGTCTTATTATTATGTACCTAAAATATAAGCGCATAGATTTTTGTTGATCGGAGCTATTTATTGTCTTTGAAATCAACGAAAAGTCAATGCATAGAGCTCAGCCACGTTGGCCTCATCTTGTAGGGAGAAGTGCAGAAGAAGCGATTGCAGTTATTAGAAGAGATACAGGTATAGTTATTCCAATCGGACTCACACCTAAGATAGCATTGAAATTCGAATAGGCTTGTCGAATATTCAAGTTGTCGGACCAGACATGATGGTCACAATGGATTACCGAATAGATCGAGTTCGAATTCATGTTGATAAACATGGACGAGTTACATCTCCACCGACTATTGGTTGAATAGAACAGACTTTCATGTTTTATGTATGAAAAGAATCAATAAATATGCACTAAAACCTTATTCGAATACACAAAGAGAGAGTTTTCTATTTTTACTCTCGAAAATCCTGATCGTCTGACATCTTTGAGTGAATATCATTTCTGTTTTATATGAATAAGCAGTTATAGTTTCATAAGAAAGATTTTTTATTGCAAGCGAAATCGATGGCTGCGCCACCACGTACTTGGCCTAACCTTGTTGGTAAAGATGGCAAAGAAGCTGTGGAAATCATTAAAAAAGATACCGGTATTTTTCCTTAGTAGAAAACTGCTATTCGGATTTTTTTCTATTTTTAATTAGGTTTTACCAATGTTCATACGATTGAAGTAGGTATGAAAGTGACCATGGATTATCGAACAGATCGAGTTCGAGTTCGTGTTGATAAACAAGGCCAAGTCGCATCAACACCAATTGTTGGTTAACAAGAAAACGATCTTAACTGCGTTGCTTTTTATGTACGGTTATTTTGAGATATATATATAGAAAAAAGCTTGTTTTTCTTTGTCAATGGTGATACTCGTGTTTTATATTCGAATAAAGATGATTCATCATTTTTACAATGTCTCTGTTGTTTTATAACACAAGTTATCATAGCTACCTAGAAAACATTTTATCAAAAGTAAAATAGAGAAAGAGATGATGGACGCACCACCACGTAATTGGCCTGAACTCGTTGGTAAAGACGGCAGAGAAGCTGTGGAAATCATTAAAAAA